TTATTGAATGTTTGCTGTTTGTTAAAATACTAGGTTAAGTGTTCTGTGTATGAGAGTACTTCAAAAAGTTCATGGAAATATTTGTATTGTCTTTTAATTCTACTTTTCCATGAACTTTTTGAAGTACCCTTGTATATTATTCCCAAAACTTTTGACAAACTTGTGAAGTGTTACTATTTTTTTTTGCATATCTAGGTATGGGTTCAGTATAATAGATAATTTCAAAATCACAATAACTTCCAGTTAAATAGTAAGTGCCTAGTGGTTCCAGAAATGAGGCTGTACATTGGAGATCATCTTCTTTGGGAGTTAAGTATTAAAATCAGCATATAATGTAAAATTATGGTCAAAATTTTCTTTGAGAAACATTTAAGTTGTCTATAACAGTTTACAGATACAGAGTCCCTCTATAAATACATCTTGCTGTTCTTTGCCCTCTAGTATTGGAATTTTTTTTAATTAAATTTTTTTTAATTTAAAATTTTTATGTATTATTAGCATATTTATTCTTACAAATTGTGATACCTCTTTCTGCCCTTTGCCCGACTTATCACCTCCTAAATCCCCTTACTCCCTTCCCTAATCTCTAGTATGCTTTAGGTTTGTTCTCTCTTTCTGAAAGTTCAACATATTGTTGTGGTCTTTTCTTTCTTTCTTTCATTCCTTCCTTCTTGCCTTCCTTCCCTCCCTTCCTCCCTTCCTGCCTTCCTGTCTTCCTGCCTTCCTGCCTGCCTGCCTGCCAGTTATGAGTGAGAGCATGAAGTATTTCTCTTTCCTTGTCTAGCTTATATCACTTAACATAATTTTTTCCAGACTCATCCATGTCGTTGCATTGTCTAGCTTATATCACTTAACATAATTTTTTCCAGACTCATCCATGTCGTTGCAAATGGCAGAATTTCATTCTTTTTTATGGCTGAGTAGTATTCCATTGTGTATATATTCCACATTTTCTTTATCCAGTTGTCTGTTGATAGACCCTTAGGGTTGATTCCATATTTTGGCTATTGTAAATAGAGTTGCAATGAACATAGGAGTGCAGGTAACTCTTTGACATGATGATTTCCATTCCTTTGGATATATACCCGGTAGTGAGATTGCTGGGTCATATGGTAGCTCTATCTGTAGTTGTTTGAGAAACCTCCATACTGTTTTCTATAATGGCTGTGCTAATCTACAGTCCCAACAACAGTGTATGAGAGTTCTCCTTTCCCTGCATCCTCTCCAGCATTTGTTATTGTCGGTCTTTTTAATAATGGCCAGTCTAACTGGGGTGAGATGATATCTCAGTGTGGTTTTGATTTGCATTTCTCTGATGACTAGTGATGCTGAGCAATTTTGCATGACCTGTTGGCCATTTGTATGTCTTTCCTTTGAAAAGTGTCTGTTCATCTCCTTTGCCCATTTTTAAATTGGATTATTTGTTTTTTTACTGTATAATTGTTTGAGTTCTTTGTATATTTTGGATATTAATCCCTTGTCAGATTCAGATGTGTAGTTTGCACATATATTTTCTCATTCTGTAGGTTGTCTTTCCATAAGTGAAGTTTTATTGGAACCCAGTCATATCCATTCATTTATTAATTTTCTATGGCTGCTCTGGAGCTACAAAGGCAGAGTTGAGTAGTTGAACATAGACCAGCTGTCCTGTAAAGCTTAAAATATTTACTATCTGGCCCTTTAAGAAAAAATTTGCCAATCCCTGGAATAAATCATTGTTTCTTTAGGTGAACTAACGAAGAATTGGTTTGCATTTGGGACCTTGTACAAAATATATAAGGATAGTGTGAGACATTCTTGCTGCATTGGAGGCATGTTGGAACTGAGAGCAACCAAGAACATAGCATGTTTCCTAAATCACAGTTCATCCTTGAGTGACTCCCATGGAATTTAAAAAGTTCACTTTGTGGTATGCTTTGGTTGGTTTTTAAAAAGCAATGTTTTATGTTAATAATTAGGAAGGTCTTAGTAAGTTCTCTTTCCCTAATGCTTTATTTTTATATCCTTGAAAAAAAGAATGTATCAAACAGATCAACTTTGGCATTGTATAATTTTTAAAAAATTGTTTATTTCTTAGATAACTTCTGGAAGCATGTTTTATAAGCAAAAATCATACTCTCAACTGTATTTGAATTGTTTATATAAAATACTTAAGTATAGGGCCGGCCCGGTGGCGCACTGCTACAGTGCGCTGCTTGGGAGTGTGGCGGCGCTCCCGCCGAGGGTTCGGATCCCACATACAGACTGGCTGCTCACTGGCTGAGCGAGGTGCGTGTGCAGCACCGAGGGTTGCGATCCCGTTGCCGGTCCCAGTCCGGTACGGGCGCGACACTGAGGGTTGCGATCCGTTGCCGGTCACGAAAAAAGACAAAAAGGAAAAAAAAAATACTTAAGTATAAATTAAGATTACACTGGTACCTATTATTTCTGAAAATTCACAGTAACATATCATTTCACTAGATGTTAGTAGTGTTTTCAATTCCAGAATGTATACTTAAAATGTTTACCTTTTTCAAATTTAATATTTATAAAACTATCATAGTTTTCTATATTTTAATTTTACTATTTGTGGTTAAGTTATTTCATATACGTATTTCTAACATTAGTGAGTTATCTAATAGTAATTTTTTGGTCATAAACAGTGATCTTTTCTTTGTTATAAGCATTTCACAAATGAGAATAGTGGTATCTTTTTAAACTTTAATATGTAGTATACTTTAAACAGTATCCAAAAAACCTCTGGTTTTTCCCCTGTCTTTAAGAAGGAAAATACCAGTGTTATTCTCCTCTCAGATATTTAAACATAAAAATTATACTTTAAAAATTTAGATTTCCAATAAGTTTCTTTAGTTAAAATACCTATGTATACATTATATGTTATATAATATATATTTATAACAGTAAATATAAATGCTGTTTTATTTTATGTTGATGCAATTTTAAAAACAGTAAGTTATTTTATATCATTGGGGGTGAAAATGACATTAGTCTAAATAAATTTTCCCCCCTTTATTGTGGAGGTTAAAAAGTTGTCTCTATAATGAAAATTACTCAGCACTTCAAAATTTACTTTGTTCACAAGACCAGCTTTTTTGATTGTTTCATTTTTTTCTTGCTAGAAAAATATAATATTGAACTTGGATTTAGAGTCATGGGCACACTTAACATTTAGCTGTTTTACATGTGGGATAGGTTGAGTAAAATTACTTTATTGCATTTATGAAAATCTTGGTGTATTTGTGGTAATTTTTTGGTACTGAATTAGCTGCCAAAATGTTTACACATCTATATAAGCAGTCTTATGGCAGCTCTGGGGCCTTTCACTTAAAAGTGTTTCCAAGGCTACCTTGAAAATGAAGTAGCCCTTCAGATTTTGTATTCTTCTTTACATTCATTATCATTATCAGGGCTTAACCGGCTGATTCACAAATGAACTTGTGATGACCAGTAACATCATTCTGAAAAGTTAGATATCAGCTATTCCTGATTTCAAATCACAACTCTTTCTGTACTACAGGAATCCCAGAGAACTTTCTTAAGCTTTCTGTGGCCCAGGTTTAGTTGTGAAATGGCGTCTACCTAATAGGCTGTTAAGAGGAAAAATGGAGATAATCTATGTCCTTCAGATACTCAGGTTGTAGAAGACTTGTCTTTAAAAACAGCTTTCAATCATTCGTCTTACTTAATACATGGAATGTTTAGATTTCCTGTCCTACTTTGCCATCCTTGGCCCCCTTTGAGTGCTTTCATAATGCCTCAATTCTTTAATATCCACTGTATATGTTGTCAACCTTTTCTATTACCTGTAGCCTCAACTCTCAATTTAAAAGGTTCTTATTACCTTTTAATGAGGGGTTATTGACTGAAAGTAACTTTTCCTATGAACAGAAGGATTTCTTAACCTGGGAACTCACAGGAAAATTGTATTTCAGTTTAATTAGTTTCCTTTGTAATTCTGTTTAATTTTATGCAGTGAAAAGAATTATCCCAGAAGAGAGTCAGTCCATAGATATTACCTCAGTACCAAAGGGGTCATGACACTAAAAAGGTTAAGAACCCCTGATGAAAGAATTCCCACTTCAGTGGAATATGATAAATCAGTGATTGAGTGATAAGAGAAGTCACCTATGTCACGTAACTCTTAACACTCATTCTACTACAAGTGGCTCACTCTTTCAACAGATAAAAATAGTCCAGTCAACTTCCAAAAATTAAATAGTACTAACCCTAGTTTTAGCTTCTTGACTTCTCCATTCCTCAACTTTGCAAGAGAAAAATTGGCCACTATTCTTTTAATACACAGGTAATTCTATATGATACACTCAGAGACAGCACATATAGTGGAAAAGAACATAGGTATTGGAATCACACTTGTTTAATATTTCCAAGTTGCTGATTCTTCATCTATGATGTGAGAATAATAATATGCACATTACTGGGTTGTGGGAGGAATTAAAGGAAACAAAATATGTAGAATATATAGCACACAATGTCTGGTACGTTGTGGGTACTATGTGGATGTTATTTTCTTTACTTGTACTGAAAACCCAAATGAACCTGAATTGAATTTAGAGTTTGGTGGTGTAGGGATGGTAGTGGAGGAAGAATTAAAAATTGTGGTCAGAGGGCTGGCCGGTTAGCTCAGTTGGTTAGAGCATGGTGCTGATGACACCAAGGTCTAGGTTCGATCCCTGTACTGGCCAGCTGCCAAAAAATAAATAAAAATATTAAAAAAAAAAAAGAATTGTGGTCAGTTATTTTTATTTCTAGAATTGGATTGGTGGTTTTTGTTGAATGGGATAATTTCCTGAAAGACGTAGACTTTTTTTGGGAGAAAGAAAAGTAGGTTACAGAATTTAGTTGTGGAAATAGTGTGAGGGAAAGCATAGACTGGGGAGTAGAACAATTAAATTTAAAGTCTAGGTTTGTATAGAGGAGTGAATAAAAAGAAGTGTACATGTCGCTGAACTTACACTTTTCCTTAAGTTATCTGTTTTCAGAGCAGTGGAATTTTTCATCAGAGATAAATATGAGAAGAAGAAATACTACGATAAAAATGCTATAGCTATTACAAATGTAAGTAAAACCTTCATCTCTCACCAATTAATGTTTGTTGAATAATAGATTTCAAACTTTTAACATGCAATACAGTTCAATTTATTTATCGTAAAAATATACTGCTTGCAAATGTTTCTTGTATGAATATTAAAATTTTTGGCTACATGAAGTTGAGTGCTTGCAAAGTAAAACTCTTGATTCAGAAAGGAGGGTATTCTAAATAACAGTTTAATAACTGCTTACATGGCATTTAATTAAGTTAATTTTATGAAACTACAAAAAGATAAAGCCACTAATTGAAAAAGGAGGGAGAGGAAATTGTTTTGCTAGATTCTGGAAATGTATGAAAAAGAAAAAAGCTAAATCTATCTTCCCCTAAGGGCTTTCTTTGGTGGGTTTGCTGAGACATGAAGTTAGTAGCTCAGGTGTACATTAAACCATGGTATTTTAACTGTTTAATATCAAGAATTTTGGTACTCCTAATAGTTGAGACCTTAGTGTAGTCATCAAATATATCAACTGTTTCTTGTTAGTTTTTTGGGGTTTTTTTTTGGTTAAATTTTCCCACCCCAGTTAATTATATGAGGCTAATTGCCTTTATTGTTGAAATCGTTTTTTGGCCTTTGATTTCTAGATTAATAAGCCAGCTATAAACCAGTTAATCTTGTGGGGAAGTCATATGTGAAGCAATTTAGAGGCAGTAGTTCCATCTCATTTTGCATGTAAACTGATTTTCCTTTTTGGTCTATATGGAGAAGCAATATACTAAAAAGTTCAATCAAATCCTAGGAAAGTAAGGATATTTTAATACATTGCTTTGACAGTGAAAAATTTTGTTAAAAAAGTTTTTAAAGTATCATTAGTGTATATATTGGAGGAAAGATATCCCTGTGTGGAGAGTTTGAGCTGCATTTATATTAGATGTAAAAGAGGAAATTTGTTGAAAGATTGATAAAAGTTGATAGTGTTAAGAATGATATGTATAATTTCCATAAAATTAAGTCTGGTTTAAACATTGTGGTGAGAAAAAGGAACTAACTTTAAAGTGTAAGTAATATATTTTCATATGAAATGTTAATAAATCATTTTAGTATATTTTTAAAAACATACTGCTTTATATTAAACACTTCTAAAAATTGTAATTTTTTAAAAATTACATTTGTATTTATAGTATTTTTTTCTCTTTGGCAACAATTTGGAAATTATTTTTACGTAGTAATATAAAGAAGAACAGTTTTATCTTTGGATGATAGCTGTTATGGAGTGGAAGGTCCCCCCCCTCAGGTGTGTTAATTGTATGATTAGTGTATTAATTAGTCCCTTTGTGTTGCTGTAACAGAAATACTTGAGACTGGGTAATTTATAAAGAACAGAGGTTTATTTGGCTTACAATTCTGGGACAGCTACATCTGGCACAGGCTTCAGGCTGCTTCTACTCATGGTGGAAAGTGGCAGGCAGCCAGCAGGTACAAGTAGATCACATGGTGAGAGGAAGCAAGAGAGAGCAGAAAGAGAGGAGGTGCCAGGGTCTTTTAAGCAAACAGGTCTCGTGGGAACTAATTGAGGAAGATCTCACTCAGGACTCCCATCCCCCTGGGAGAGCATTAATCCATTCATGAGGGATCTGCCCCCATGACTCAGTCAGTTTCCAACACTGCCACATTGGGGATCAAATTTCCACATGAGTTCTGGGAGGACAATACATCCAAACTCCATCACTTAGTTAGGAGAATTTCTTCATTCAGGGCTTAGACATGTGGTGGAGTAAAATATTTAGGGATTAAGTGTCATCATATCTATAACTCATTTTCAAATGGTTCAGTGAAACCTGGAAGCTTTGTGTATATCTGTGTGTATGTCTGCAGAGAGAGAACAAACATGGCCTGATGTTAACATTCGATGAATATTAGTGATGTTTATAGAGGTATTCATTCTACATTAAAAAAATTTTTTTTCTGTACTCTTAAGTTTATATTACTAATGAAATGAAAATTCAGAAAAATTGCATGTAACTCAAGAGAAAATGCATTCTGCATATTCCTTTATAGGCAAAATAATAATTTAGAAAAACAAGTTTATATTGTAGCAAGTTTAAAGTATTTCTCCTTTCATGGTGATTAATGTGCAAATAACTAATATATTACTGAGAATTTATTACAAATTTGTTTAGTGTTTTGTCTTCAGTTATAGATTGAACATTCATTCAAATAATAGTTTTTTTTTTTTTGTTTGTTTTTTTTGTCTTTTTCCATGTCCGGCAACAGATCGCAACCCTCAGTGTTGCCCCCATACCGGACCGGGGACCGGCAACGGGATCGCAACCCTCGGTGTTGCTCCCGCGCCTCGCTCAGCCAGTGAGCGGGAACCAGTCTGTATGTGGGATCCGAACCCTCGGGCGGGAGCGCCGCCGCGCTTCCCAAGTGGCGCACTTATCCAGTGCGCCACCGGGCTGGCCCCTCAAATAATAGTTTTTGATCACTTATGCCCATAAAATGCTAAAACAAAGAGGACATGACCCTTGCTTTCAGAGAGATTTATCATAGTGTAGATAAAGACCAAGTTTTAAAAAATAACTTAATGTGAGGGTACTTCAAAAAGTTCATGGAAAGATTTATGTTATCTTTTAATTCTGTTTTTCCATGAATTTTTTGAAGTACAAAGTACCCTATATCTAAGGTATTCAAGGAATACTAGGGTACTTCAGGGGATATCTAAGGGGAGAGTAGTTTGCACACTAGTACTGTTTGCACTCTGATAAAATGTATGTCGTGAGTGGCTATTAAACTTCTATATTGAATGGCTTCAAAGTACTTTACCTTTGTAGTTTTTGTGTCTTATTTTTAGTTTGTCTGTCTGCTCTTGTTTCAGATATCTTTCTGTAGGGCTACCCGTATATGTTACTGCTTCTAATTTTTTTAAAATTTTAAACAAGAGGGTTGCAGTAGGGACCTAAGCTGACCCTATTTCTCTGTGTAAGGCAATAGTTTTTTAACCCCTTTTAAAAAACAAAAACCAAAACACATTTCTTGCCCTTCTGTAACATAAACAATTCAAAGTGCTGTAATGAAATACAAAGTAATAAACTATGACAAGACGATGGCAAAGAGTTTTGCCATTTTTCTATAATGTTGCCCTACTGCCTCTCAGGACATTTAATGTGTCCATGAGGTAAGCCTGACTGGAATCTATCATGTAGATGATGAGAGGGGTTAGGATGGAATTTCCCTCATTCCAAAGAATTTATATGTAATTGAGAAGAGCAGCTTCAGCAAACTGTTCATAAATATTGTGTCTGAAACGTGGTACTTTTGAGAAAGCAGGGAGAGTTATACATGCTTCTTTTATGGAAGGAATTTGTGGTATAGACCAGTTTTGAGGTCTCTGCAGCACTATAAGCATGAATTAAGGGAGGTGGCTAAAAGGGGAAGAGCAAAGTTCAGATAAAGGCAGAAACAGAGGAAAATATGTTTCAAGTAGAAATGTTTTTATATCAGAAAGAATTTTTACTGGTTTGTAGCCCCAAACAGAAAAAAGATATTTTGTTTCTTTTATATCTTCTAAAGTGACTATATAGTGCTGGATATGAGTTCATCCATGTTGACCCTGAATACTTCCCATCCCTCCCTCCTTCCTGAGATCTGTGCTAGCTTCTTATTTTGAAATAAGATATGGAATGACAGAGATTGACTGTTGAAGTCCCCTTGTATTGCTCCTTCTTTTATTTGTTCATTTAGTCATGCAAAAAGAAAACATTATTGAATATATACTATGTGCATGCCACTGAGATTAAAATGATATTATCTTTGTCCAAAAGTAGCTTAACTCAAACATTTTCAACATGTAATATACATGTATAATAAGCTATATTCTAACGTGTAATGTGGTAGCTGTTAAAGTAGAAGAATAAAACTGCTGTGGGAACACAGAATTTACCCTAGAAGAATTCTTAAAGGAGGTGTATTTGAGATTCTTCTTAACAGAAAAGTAAGATTTTGGTAAATAGGAGATGGGCTGATATGCAAGAAGGAAATGTTGATAATTCAGAAAACACATTTCAGGCCAAAGGGACACTTTCTCCCATGTGTGCCAAAGTGAGATGAGGAGGAAGGAGAATTCAGGTGTATTATTTGGTGTTTGGGCTTTGGTGAGTGGTCCATAAGTCTTTTCTGTCTAGCAAGTGTGAAAAGGGGCTATCGGGTGGGGAGATGAGGAGATAATATATTTATGAGGAGGTAAGTCTAGAAAGGCAAAGAGGACTTAAATGCTAGACTGCTGAGGATTTTGCACTTTTTTGAGTAAGGGAATGGTTATTGTATTAATTTTCTTTGCCGTTATACAAATTACCAGAAATGTACTGGCGTAAAATAACACAGGTTTACTATCTTACCGTTTCTGTATGTCAAGAGTCTGGGCATGGGTTAGCTGGGTTCTCTGCTGAGGATCTTACTAGGCTGAAATCAAAGAACTGGCCAGGGCTGCTATCTTATCTGACGCCCGGGTCTTCTTCCAACCTCACAATTATTGTCAGAATTCATTTCCTTGTGGCTATATGACTGAGGTCCTGTGTTCTTGCTGATGTCAGATACTCTCTATTTCTGGGGGCCACCTTCAGGTCCTTGCCAGATAACCCCATATTCTTACAACATGACAGCTTACTTCTTCGAGGCCTCTAGGAGAATTTCAAATTTATTTCAAGAAGGGCCCATCCCCTTTTAAGGGCCCTCATTAGGCCAGGCCTGTCCAGGATAATCTCCCTTTTGATTAATTTATCTTCAGCTGATTTGGGATCTTAACTACTAATGCATAATTCCTTCACCTTTGTCATATAACATCCAATCAAGGGAGGGAAATCCATTATACTCACAGTCCTGCCCACAATCAAGGGAGGGCATTATACAGGTTTATACACCAGGGAGGGGGAATTTTGGTGGCTGTCTTAGGATTCTGCCTACCATAGTAATGTAGAATGAGTCTGCCCTCCCTGGCCGTTCCTTAATTCAGTGAGTGATAAGGGGAAT